GCAGGAATTAAGATGAATTACAATTGCATGAAAAGCATTGAAAAACTGAGCAGACTAAAACTACATTCCTGTAATTTGGGAAAAAAAAAAAGGGAGTGGAACAGAGCTTGAAAAAAATGCATTAATTCACCATGATCATAGTCATTCCTACTTTCAGATTTTTATTCAGCTATATAGAAGTTGCTTTACCCCTGAAACTGTAGCTAGAGAACAAAGTTCTTGAAACCAAGTAAAGAACGGAGTACTTCGCATGGCACCACAAATCAGACAGGGTAGTGCTGCTACTCAAGGAAAGCTGAAATAGGGGTAAACGGAGCTGCGGCGTGATTAGCCACTATGCTGGTGGATCGGTTGCCGGTCAGGAGGGCCTCATTTCTGGACGGCACAGGAGGGGGAGAGGGAATTCAATCCTGGCGTGACCAGCGGCCTCAGCTGATCCTGGGAGCACTGTAGTCGCAAGTTTGTGTCTTCTTCAGAGTTCCTTTCTGAAAGTTTTGAATGGAGCTGAGTAAGGCTCCTCGGCTTGCACTGACATCGGCCTGCGGGTTTGGCTGTGTTGGCACCTCTGTACTCGGAGGAGGAGCTGCTGGTGGCAGGGGCGGCGGTGGCGGTGCTGGGGGTATTGATGATGCTCCTGTTGAGTTGAGGAGAAAAGATGTAGTTTGATTACGTCAAGAAGGTCCTGCCGCAGAGGACTGCGGCCACTTAGCTGGACTTGGTCAGTCCTCCACTAGTCACATCATTCCTTGAATGCCAGTGGAGTGTGAAGAACAGAACAGATGAAAATAATGCCAAAGTGATCAAACTCCTCTATCTGCAGGTGAGTTGTGTCGTCTGAGACACCTCTGAAACAAAGCCTGAAGTGCCTGAGTATTCGGGATGCAAAACATGACTCAAATGTGATCTTGAGTGAGGCAAATGGAGATCACTTAACAGGACTTCCCAGCTTCAGCTTCTCTTGTTTGTCCCCAGTGAAGCAGTTTGCTCTTTGGGTCATGAACAGTAACAAAGACTGGAAGCAAATCTTGCTACCTGTTGTTATTTACATGACTAACTTCACATTCTTACAAAGCACCACATTGCTGTAGTATCTGTGGTGACTGCTTGGTCAGATTACATTCCATTTTTATAGTACTAACTGCAGATAGAGTTTTCTGAAAGCGTTTTACACTTCCAGGGTATTGTCACAGACTTTCTCCCAACACGTTTTAACAAACACTTGTTTCACAGGGTGAATGAGTCACCGCCACCGGCACTCACACCGCCTGCCTGCCTCCCGTGCTCCCCCCAGTCACCTTTGCACCCTGTCCCTTGCTTTCTACCCCCTCACGTCCTTCTCATGCTTCTCATCCTGCCTCAGCCTCACGTCCTGACTTCCTGGGAAGCCAGAGCCCGCGGGCAGCTAGCCTGGCAGTGAGGGCCTGCCTGGAGGTGCTTCACGGCAGCTCGGATCCAGGCAGGTGGCCTTATTTGCCCTAAGCAGCTCTCCCAAACCCCCTGATCTTGTGCAACTCTGCTGCTGCACATTGCACCATCATTTCTACACAACTATAATCAGATCCATGCTGGAATAAGAGCAAAGGGCTTCAGAGGTGACCACTTGCTGTTCCACAAGACATCCACGTGAAGGTGGCATTTGCAGCACATCACCAGCTATTGGGGAATGATGGGCCTGTCTTGTCTCATATATCCTGGAATGAGCAGGGGCATAATGATTAATGCCTTCAGACTATTCAACAGTGAATTTTAACTTATGATCACCTAGTTCATAAGTTATTCCATAGTAAGACTAGAGAGACAGATGGCACCTATAGTATAACACTTACTTTCAGTAGCTCTAACCTACAAAGAGGAATGTACTGGTGAGAGGCAAGAACTATGATACAACACAAGGCAACATGAGGCCAACCAAGAGACCATGGTTACTGAAGTAGAACTGCTTGCTATGAAGTAAGCAAATACCAAGCAGTTACAGGACATTATGCCACATGAACTCGAGAGGTATTCAATGAAGGATAAAGCTCAGCTACGGAAAACAAAAAGCAGGCAGAGTTCTCTGTGCTCCACTTCCCTCTCAATTCCTTACTAACACTTGCTCTCAGACTAACAAGTAATAGTAAAAAACGTAACTGCTGTAATTCAAAAAAGCAGTTGTTATACTAGATGAAAGTTGTAACTCAAAGCTCTCTCATTTTCTATTTATACCAGTCTTTGAAGAAAGACTTTTCCTGTATGGGAGCAAGCTCAAAATGCAGAGTATTCACACAAAGCATCCAATTTTGCCAGTGTACATTAATACATGCTGTGATTATAGCACTTCCAACTCTTTGGGAGAAGTTCTCATTGGCATGAAAACCACCTGTGACAACAGAAGATGGAAGCACATATTGGGCTCATCTTCACTCTCCTCCTTTCCAGAGGAAATACTCAAGTCCTAGCAGAAATATCAGAGATCAACTGGAGCAACTTAACGTGCCTGTTGCATGTGGATCAACTGCTCTTAAGTAATCAAAACATTACACAATGTTAGCACAAACTGAAATAAATTACATATTGATGCCTTGGCCATCTAACTTACCCAAATCTACTTTTTACACTAGCCAAAGCTGTAAGTCCATTTATTATTAGAAATACTGGAAAACCACCCCCTAGGTGAGAGTCCTCCTGTTTCTCATGTGTGTACAGACTGCCAGCAAAGGTCAGCAAAGCAAATCTTGACACTTTGCCAAAGGAAGAACAAGACCAAGAACAGCTCAAGTAACACTTTTGTGGTTAAAGTGGTTAGAGCAGAACACTGTAGGACTGGTGCACCAATACTATCACCAAATTGATAGGATGAACTGCCGTAAAAGAGCCAAGAGCAGCCAATCATTAATGAAATGGCTTGAAAGAGATGCAAGAACTGCAGAGAACAAAGACACAATTTTTGGCTGGAATTGCAAGGTGAGGTTGAAGAGGCTATGCAAGCAATTGCACAAGATACAATAGGGAATGACCATGAAAACAGTGGCCAGGATTCTGTATGGAATACATATACAACGGTAACATATGCAGTGAAAGAAGGCACACATTTGGCAGAGAGAGGGACAAAAAAGCCACAAAGTGCTGGGATCACTAAGTATTAATCAGTCAAGATTCCACGTGTTATATTCAAATTTTGGTTTGGTTATTTTACAATGGGGGCAAAAAAGACAGGGGAATAGGGACAGAGGCCACCTTCCTTCCTGGAAAGTTGTTAAATTCCTCAGGACTAACTATCATTGAAACTGAGCTGCTCACAACATCATACAGTTGGGAGACTGATTACAGGCCATGATACTCTTACATCTAAGCTTTGCCTTAAATCATAAACACACACAGTTTTTAGGATGGTATCTGACTAGCTGTGAGCATTACATATTGAACCCATTAATTAAGAGCATGGTTCTGAAAAAAATCTTAGAATCAATTAATTTCAAAGAGTCAATCAAAACCAAGCTGTCCTTCCCTTCATGACATGAGTGGTACAAAGGAAATCTTAGTTCATACTGGTGTACTCCTATGCAACTACATCTACAGATTAAATTGTTCTGTCCAACAGTGAAATCTTTTCTGTATTTACTAGAAAAAACATCTAAGTGCTCAGCTATAACTAGACCTTTCCAATACATATGTTGGAGGAAGTTGCCTACAAACACACATTTCACTCATTCATGCAATTTTAAGAATAAAACACTCAAACAAGAACTTACCAAGGGGTTTTTACAGGGACATTTTTGTTAAGAGAGTGTGTTAAAAGGAATAGGAAGTAAATCAGATGCTGTAAACTTGATGCCTGAATTAAAACAAAAACTTAATTATGAATTTAAAGTGACAATAATTGTACAAACAGCATTAAAAACTTGGCTGAGAATGGGATGCAAACAAAGAAAATCATTTTAGTGATAGAGTTTTTAAAGATGCTGTATTTCATTACAATAATCCATAGAATGTTTAGATCTCTTTCTTCCATGCCCTCCCAATACTAAGCGAGTTCAAAATTTGCATTCAACTTTCCCATACAGAAACAGAGCATCTTTAAAGAGATAAATCAGCATTAGCTTACTTTTCGGAAAATTCACGTTCAAAATGATGCATGCTCTATTGAAGACAGCAGAGAAAGAGAGAGGACACAAGTTAATCATCCGGTTCTCGTGTCAAAGTAAGAAAAACAGATACTGTTAGCTGAAAAGTTAGTACAAAAATCAATACATTCTTATTCACTGACAAATATACGGATAGCAGATTGACTATTTCATATTACATATACAATACTTTGATTCTGAATAACGAACAATGATTTTCCATGCTATAAGCATTATTATACTTGATGAACAAATAGAACACACATGCTTTCAGTTGCACATGCCATAATTCAAGCTTTACAGTATTAAAGAGAGATATAGCAAGAAATCTGCAGGAAGATTAGCCATAGAAGATGAAATCCATTCCGTTCAAGGAACACTTCCTGTCATATTAACACCTGTATTTTCACTTGCGCTGCATGGATCAGAGACACTCAAGAAGAGCACTTACTAAAGCATTCAAATTGTCTTACAGACAGGTGAAGGGCAGAAAAGATGCACCATATGGGTGTCTATGAAACGTGTCATACTGAAGGATTCAGAACAACTGGCACAGAAGAAGATAGCTAAAGTTAAGTACAACTCTTTCACTTTATTCCCGCAGGGAAGCAAAAATGGTGCCCTATAAACTTTTCTCTATTGTAAGAGAGCTTGCTGGTATTTTATGGGCTTATTGGATTTAGAGAAGATGCAGTGAAGTTTTAAATAACCCATACCACAGTGCTCTGCATCCCTTCTGATCCTAGCCACAGCTCACAGCCACAAAGAAAATTAACAGATTTTCAAGAAAGCAAAGAATTGTGCAAGTGGAGAAAAAGAGTCAAACATTCAAGGAAGAACATCAGAATCACAGGAAGTTACATTAGAATCACTTGCCATGATCTACATAATGTATTTCAAAGATGTTACTTATCTGAGTATCTGCAACAAAACCAGCCCAAAACATTCTAGTCAATGAGAAAAGCCCACGAGAGCCTATGTTTCTAGTAGACACCTTTCCCCTAGAGCAGGTCATGCATTCAGCTGCAGCCACCATTATGAAGCCAGCTGAAGCCAGCAATCAGTATGTTTTTTGACTATACCAAGCTCTCTACTGCAAGCCAAGTCTCACAAGGCCTTTGTTCAGAGACAAAGCACCTCTCAATGTGTGAGAGCTTCCCTGGAGCATGTCAGCCTGGAGCCTGTTCCCCTCTGGGGAAGTGCCTCTGGGCACTTACCCACACACTACACTAATGTGGTTGGTTCAGGCCAGGAGAAGGGCAAGAGCTGTCGGGTACGCTTTTCCATGTTAGCCTTCGTTTTGCCATGGCATCGTATCAGCAAGATGCTTTGACATACCACGATTCGAACACAACCAGAGACAGACTGAAAGCCTCATTCCCCTTCTGACAGTCATCTCACCACACTGATACCCACAAGCAATTTTGGTTTAGAGGTAAATATCCTTTGTAAGTACAAGGAAACTGGAAGAGAGAGATACAAACTATGGATGCATCAGTTGTCACAAAGAATGTCCTACCATGGGGCCAGTGAGTCTTTCATCAAGTTAGTTATAGCAGACTTGCTTAGAATAGATGAAAGTACAACATTGGTGGTGAAAAAAAAAAACAAAAAACACAAAAGCAGGCACGCTAGCTTTCTCTTAGAACTACTATCTGAAGTTTCTGCTATGAATTCTACCCACAAAAGCAATCCTGAAATGGTGGTGTTTGCCTTTACACCCGATCAAACGCATCAAAGCCACCGGCACACTAAAGCACCTTCCAGTTTGAATGGAGGTAGGGCCACGTGCACCGTGTCAGACGGGGCTGATCGCCACCAGTCACCATGAGCACACTGGCAGCAGGATGACCGACATGCAGTGACAATGTGGGTCGAACAACAAGTTTTGAGCACAAACTTGGGCCATTTGAGCCACATCTGCACATAAACCTGCATCACAGGCTCAAAACTTGAAAAAGCCTTCAACCAAGTTCCAACATGTGAAAAACATAAGTAAAAGGCAGTTTTATTGCAAGAGGGAAAAAAGTGTTTTGTAAACATCCGTTTTGGAGGCATAAGGTTTTATTTTGCATTTTCAGCTACTTCCTTATTAAAGCATACACAACTTGAAATAAACCCTCCAGCTAAGAGTCAGAGAACAGCGCTATCATTGTGCAACACAATAACAGTAATTCTCTTGTTTAGACTAACTGGGAGAAGTTTGTTCATAAAATACACACTTCAACATACCCTCAACTTGAAGGAGAAATGACCGATTTGAATTACATCACACAGACTGCAGTGTCCTTTGAAAGACCATCCACAGCAAACACAAATTTGATTGCATCGCTTTAGTTAACAAGCTGTGCTGCGTAAAGAGTTCCTGGGACTAGAAATCATATGGCATGAGTCATTTAACAAGCAGCAAAGCTATGGACTGCTTCCCTTCTAGAAATGTATTCCATTAACACCTTTTGCTGTTAATGTTCGCCAGTGCTCCTCTTCGAGCCTTTCAGACTGAAGCACATCCACTATCACTCAATATTCAGATTTCTAATCAAAGTTTCACGAGCATTTCTGTTGCCCACTCAAGCAGATTCTTCACCACTTCCCACCACCTGTCCTAAACATCAGCAAAACTGTTCGCACAGCTACACAGCAAATTGGAAAACAGAACTGGCCAAAAATAATACTGGTTTTTACCCAAATCAGTCTCTGACCTGTTTCTACCAGTTCTACTGATGTTATCAACGGGCTGTAGCAGAACAGGGGAGATTTATGCAGCCTAAGCCATTGAATTTGTCACACCCAAAAATCCTGAAACTACATCACAACAATACAGGTGTAAAGAGACAATACATGGAAACAAGGGATCAACAAACAGCACTTCAGAGTCAACAGACCATTAACATCAGAACAAATGCATACTGCAATACGAGGCCCAGAAAATGTCTGGAATGTAGAAATATTGGTAGGACCAGAGTAATAGAGACTTTGAAGCAAGCACTTATACTCAATGGGTAAATCATATCATGTACATCTCAAGAAAGGTTATTAAACGAAAGGGTATTAAAAGGTTCTCTAAGGCCTTCAAAAGAGAGCACATGCCCACACATACGCTGACAAGATAAATGTCATCTCTGCGTTCCATCCCTGAAAACCACCATCCCTTTACCATCCTTGGGAATAAACACCCACAGCTGAGGGGCCAGGGGGAATAAAAAAACAAAGAAAAAGACAAACACTGTAATGACTCTTGAACTTACCTGCTGTAGAGGGCGGAGTGGGAGATGATGGAGATGTTAAGGGGGAACTCGCCCCAGAGCCTGCTAAATAAAACAACAGTGTAGTAACTGTACAGTAATAGTAGTAAAGCTGTGACATTAAAACTCAACACAGTCAGAGAAGACCAATTGTTGGAAACAGGCCAACTTTATTGACTGAAGATCCAATTCTGCTTCCACTGAAATCCTGTGAAAGATTCCCATTCATAGGAACAGTGTCACTCAGACCCAACCTGAACAGTGAGGCTTTACAGTGCACAGTGTCAGAGGAGGTCCAAACACATAAGCAGCACACTCAACAGTATTCCTCAATGGGAAACACTTCCTTCCTGTTGCTTAGGCTCTTGGATTTCAGCGTCCAAATTCTGTCCTCCTTAAGAGTTGTGCCACTGCATGGATGGCACCCCATTTCTCCTTCTAAGAGATGATTTTCAGTCAGTTGCTGTACTCCACAAGTTAGTCCAATATCTGACTATTCCCCAACAGGCTGCTTTTGGACACATTTTAGCCAAGCAAGTCAACTCCGTTAAACTGTTTGGTAGTACCGACCATTCCTTTCAACTAAATGAAGACCTGTCAAAAGTTCTGTTGGTTTAGAATTTGGCACTGAAGCAGCAATTAAACAGATAATTTTCTCATTCATCTTAACACCTTACTAAGGAATACAGATGACAACAGAGTTTCTCCCTGAAGGCTGCATTATTAAATGGCCCAAATAATGGATGTTATTGTTATTTCCCTCAAATGTCAAACAGATTGAAAGGACCAATTTAATTATTTATTTATTGAGGAATGGGGCACAAGAGAGGACACATTGTTTTGTATTAGGCAGCTGAAAATCTAACACTGACAATATTTTTAAGCCCTCAATTAAATACCCAAAACAGTGGTATCAGGCTTTGGTAGTCCAATATTAACGTGTAAATTGATGGTAACCTTGGATCTTTTAAGCCAGAAAATGACAGCAACAACAAAGACCTTGACATAGCTGTGTAGAAGCAAGTTCTTCTCTCTGTAGTTACCTGAGTTATTTGAGTTGCTGTATTTTGCTGAGTGTTCTTCCCCACTTTCATAGGCAGAGCGTTTTGACTTCTTTAAACAAAGCAGAAGAAATAGAAGGCGGGAGTGAATAAATGTTTTCCGTGATAAGGACTAATCTGACACACAGATTTCTAACAGTTACCCACTGTATCACACAAGGTTTATCAATGCCCAACATCCCTCTCCCCACCCAAAACGTGCTGCCATGATGACAACAGCAGCAAAGCTGTTCTGCACTCAGTATCTCCAGGCAAGCAAGCAGAGCAACTCCAGTGCCCTCTGACCACACGGGAAAGGCAGAAAACTGAGCCACCAAAAAGGAAGAGAAATGCAGACAGCGTGCTGCAGGAGCAGACTAAAAAAAGCTCCAACACCCTCACAGGGCAGCAGGAAGTAGCACAGGCTCTGTCATCTGTGTATGAGGTGCTAACTAAGCCTGTGTTCATACAGCAACCTCAAACAGGTTAAACCAATATGCAAGCCAGCTACCATCATAACTTAAACTTCTTCGGAATGTGTTGTTTAGCTACAGAAGTGAAAACAATCAGGAAGAAGTACAGAAAAACACAGGACAAAGTAGAGCAGCATACACGTGCTACACATTCAAAAAACCACACACCTCTCTGTGTGAGAAAACCATTTAAAGATTGCTTACCTTTCGTGCCAAGATCTTCCTTTTCTTTTTTTCTTCTTCTGAGCCATGATGAGATTGAGCTCTTGTCAGCCTTCTGTGCTGGTGAATCTTCAAAATGAAGAGAAAAACAGAAAAAGAGAAAAAGACCACATTAAGATCTTAAGTGTTCTCAGACAAGGCATATGCTTGGGATGCAAGAAAACACCCTGCAGTCACTGACATGTTTAGGTTTTTTTCATTTTTAGTTTTTATCTTTACTGTTGCTGGAGGAGGATGAAGCCTTGTTCTGCAGTTAAAATGATCCTTTAATTTATGAGCTGCTGCCTGTGAAGTTGTACCCCTTAAAACAGTGAAACACCACACAGCCAACAGCTGTTCTACAACTCCTCATACTGCATTTTGGGGAAAGTGAATCTGTTGATGAAAGGCTTTACTACCCAAAATCACTGTGAGTGAGTAAAAACTCACTTTTCCCATGTAAAAGTGTTAAGAAGAAATACAATGTCTGTAAGAAATACAGTAAAGAAATGCAGACGTTACCAATTTCTGTTCTTCTGTTAATCGTTTTTCTATGCATTCCTTGAAGGTTTTCAATGCCTCTTTTAGCTTAGTAGGAATCTAATACAGAATGGGGAAAAAAATCATAGCACAAAACATGATAAAGGATAACATAACTTCACTGCTAAAAACTCACCATTCATCTGATCATGTTGCCCATCTAAAGCCCCAAGTTCTGACACTATTCCCTTAGTAAAGGGGAAAAGAAGACTCTAGATGCATGTTTTCCACTCCAAACCTAGCGACAGATCTAACAACACGGACAAAGAAACACTGAATAATGGAAAGGATACTCTAATGGCAGGGACAGCTAACTGTTTTGATACTCCGGGCACATCCACAAGCTGCCATGAGGCCGACAACACAAGACGCACCACACGTGCCCCGCAGAAGTGCTCAGGGGCAGCTCCCCAGTGGGAGCAGAAGCACCTCGCAGGAAGTCTCAGCACTGCAGCACTGGAGCTGGCAACAACATGCTGATGGTGTCACCCAGCAAAATCAGTTTCCACAGTTCTTGGCAATTTGTTTCCTCTCACTGCAAGGGACTCGCATTACTTGGAGCCTCCACGCAGACAGAGCGCCATCATCAGTCACGCAAATTAGCTCCGGCACAGGAATTAAGCTTGAACGCTCATGGTCACACTGTGCCCAGCTTCCAAGGGGTGACAGAATGTTCTTGGGTACAATTCACCAAAGGAATCCAAATACTGATGGCAATCACCATAAAGCCAACTCTCCTCTACTCTGTTTGTCAATTAATGCATAGCTTACCCACAGCCTGGCACTTCCACAAACATCACCAAATCAATGTTCAACTCTACCTTAAACTGTGGTTTCTCTGAATTCGTTAGCAGGACATCACTGAATAATCTGTGAGTGGACAAAAAAAGAAAAAGGAATATTATTCCCAAGAGACAGGCAGAACACTACCGGTACTGTTCACTTAACTCCCTCTTTCTCCTTTTCTTTCTCTGTCCTCATCCCTAGGCCACTGCTTGTTGGTTTGTTGGAGTTTTTTCCCCACAGGTTTTTATGTACTGCTTTTTACTTTCCAAGCACTGCCATAAAATTAGCAGTATCTAACCCTCAGAATGTAGCCACTACTGATGGCAGAGTTAGCAAGACTGTGTAAAGTATTTAGAAAGCTGATAGAATAAGTACAATTATCAAAGGCAAAAGAACGCCTTTTCCTTAAAAGTATATGGATCCTTTAATGACCAGAATACCAGGGACTTTATTTTAAATTTCACCTAAACAAAATCATTGCTCTTTTAAAGAAAATTCTCTGAACGTAACTGTTGTTTTAGCATTAACAAAAAAAAGATGTGAAACAGTGAGTGAACTTAACATTTGAAAATATCTGCATTCTTGTGTGTACTCTGGCAAAGGCTACTAAAGCAAGTATTCTAATATTTTTGCTCTCCCCTTTATGGTAGCAGCAGCAACAGCATAAATGATTAATCCTTTTCCATCCAAAACAAAGACACTAGAGGGCAATGGTAGTCTGAAAATAAACTGGTTAGTCCATTTGAAGATACTTTGTTCTGGAGAACATACTAGAAAACTGTCCCAGAAAGAGATCTCAAGCCTGGCTCACAGATAAAGATTTCAGAGATTTTTTGTTTCTGTTCACTAATGGAAAATTATCACAGGCCTATACTAGGGAAAACAAATCCAAGTCTAGAATCAAGCCTATAATAATAGCATTCCATGAAAAATTCAGGTTTAAATCAAATTGTTAAAGACTTTTAAAAATCCCCACAAATGTCCACTCTTATGTACAGGGCATTTTTCTGACTCTTTCTGATTAATGTCCTTGCAAAATTAAGCAAACTCATAGATTATATGGTTACAATGCATAATAAAAAATAAAGCTTAATAAATATTTAAATTACATTAAAGGCATTGTACATCTACATAGAACAGTTGTGAAGAGTATTGGTATGAAGGGAATGCAGTATAACATCCCACATATCAGATACAGCTGGGCATGGATTGTTTGTTCAACATCTTTTAACACCTGTATATTCCTGTATTCACAGAGGGTTTTTTAACAGTTTTTCCTCCCCTGCTTACATTCTTCGCTCTACTTCCTACCTCCTTTAAGAGCAGAGGAAGGGAGGAGTAGGAGGAGCTGAAGGCTGAGACAAGCCTGCAGTGTCTCTTCCCAACTAGGAAACATGAACCTTGGAGCATGCTCTAAGCTTACTGCAATCTGTATACTCTGAGATCAGACCCAGATTTAGGTATGGGCAATCTGGCATTTACGAGGTCGTGACTCTGGCACCTCATATTGAGAAAAAATAAAAGAACTCCCCACCAGGAACTGTGGTTCTACACTTAGCATGCTGGTGACATGTCGCAGCACAGTGACAACAGATAATTTCCCTGGTAATACTGTCTCCTAATTGCAGGAAGGGCGGCACTGCAGATAGGTATGATCTCTAGCTCAGTCATGCACTGACATTGCTCCCTTTCTGCATCCTAGTCTTGCCCCATACCTGCCCTTACTACTTCACTCCATCACAGCCCATAAGGAAAGTTAGTCTGTGCTTCAGAGAACCCCTAAGCCAGCCCTGCAAGAAACCAGCCAGAACTTCTACATAACATTTCATACCCAGACCCAGGCTAAATGTCACTGCAGAGCAAAGCAAGACACCTATTTTGCTAGTCATCAGTAGATTTTGCTATCAGTTTACTTAAGTAGGTCTGAAGGGGACATGCAAAAAGACTCCTTATTCTAAATCCTTTAAAACAATCTGTACATTATCTTAATCATGCTTGCACTACTTTAATAGCAGGATCGATTTAAACCATAGCACCATGCTAAATAAAATGCATTCATAACAGCTCCAATGCAGCAAGCGACAAAGAAATGTTAAATGAGCATCTATTATATTCAAAAGGGATGGGTTCTATAAAACCTGTCAGTTTTAAAGCTTCATTTGGGATACACTATACATCCCTCAGAATGAGGAGCAAATCTTTCCAATAAGGAACAAGAGCAAAAAGGTTCTTCCTCCTAATATAATTAAAAACATGGCTATGAGTATAAAACAAGTAAAACAAGACTTACGGCATCTGTAAGAGCCGTGAAACAGTTGGCATGCCATTCTTCATAGCTTCAGAGGTCAGAATGGATTCCAACACAGACACTACCAAAGAAAGAATAAGAATGAACACATTTTTGCACGGCAGGATAGCAAATGATTTAGAATGAATGTCTGGCACTGCTGTGTGATGTTCCCCTAAGTATTGCTTCAACTAAGCAGTGATGAAGCTCTGGGGCATGTGTTTTTTATTATAATGTTACTATTACACATACAAACTTTTCAAGAATGTTAGACATGAGGCAAGGGAATCCAGACATTTAATTACTTACTGCGCACTGCTTTATCACTCAGTTAAAAAGTTTTATTTATATGCTACATATATTTCAGGAAGAACACATTTTCTATGTTTACAAATTACTAACTAATTCTTTCCAGTCACAGGCTGCAAAGATCTTAGGCTGATGTCTCACAGCACTTCAGCTTTGGTAAAAGGTAAGAGTACCCAGGAAGCTTGGGCTGGCATTTTCGCAATTGCATACTAACCAACAAACACTGATGGTGCAGGAGGGAAGCTGTCTACTGGAATCGTATCTGGGGGTCTTCCATATGTCATTTCATACAGTAAGTGTCCAAAGCAGTGTACATCAACACCTTCTAAAGTCTGTGGAGAAACAAAAATACAAAAAAACAACTTGGTAAAACTAATCAGTTTTTCACAACTGGTTTGAAAACATGCAAAAAAGTGGTCTTGCATTTAAAAACAAAAAGAGGAACGATTAAGACAGTTCCTAACCACAACCTGCATAACTTCAGCTCAAATGAAATCTTCATGCCTCAAGCTGAAGAAGCTACTGCTGTCTTTCTGGACGTGACGATACAAATGCGATAGCAGTATAGTCATGTTCTGTAAAAACACCTGAAGTAGTAAACTCTTTTCACACAGAGCAGTTTAGAGTGCCGTACATTGATACAAATCACAACCAAGCACATTTTCCGAGCTAAGTCAAACAGCAAAGAACGAGATTCCTAATACAACGAGCTGTCACTTTACAGGGAGGTAGATAAAAAGACAGCAAAAATGCATACCAAACAAACCTAGGGGAGTCTCTTTCACTGCTCCTTAGGTTTGTACAAGCTGTTTGTACATGCTAAGCTCCCAGACAGCATATTTCCAAGATTTTTTAAATCATGTTTAAACAGAAATGGCTCCTCTTACTGGAAGAGGCTTAGAGCTTTGATGGCACTAACAGATTTGGACTAACCATGAACTTTTGATCGTTTCTTTGACAACACAGTAGAACTTGTTTAACAAGGTCAGCAAGCAGCTGTCTCGTGATACCAAACAGAATTTATTACAACGAGCACTTAAAGGCAGGGCAAGACACTGGCTAAAAGACTGTATTGCTGCAACAGGGCAAATTTGTTTTCATATTTTTGTAGGAAGATAATATTTTGCCTTCAAACAAATAAGAAACAGCTTTTAATAGCTAGACGTCTGCAAGCATCTAATCAATTTTCACAGTACCCACCAAAGACAAGGCTGATTACTACTCCCAGCTAAGACCTAGTAGTAAGCTGTGCTCGTATAGACATAAAAGTGAAAGAGTGCGGTACACTACGCACGTTCCTATGAAATACAAAACCAGGGTGGAAAGAGATCATAAAACAACTGCAGTTTACCTCTATTTGTGCCAGCACTGCTGTCACGAAAACACTCACCTGCACTCCCCTTCTACCTGCTTACCTTTGGCCTCAGCCTCCCTTCAGTGTGCTGCAACAAAACTTCTGTGCAGCCAGACAGTGATTTGGAGGAAGCAGAAAAGGGATTTGATGGAGAAAAGCTCAGATTAAAGAAAGGGGGTCGAGAGATGTTTTTTTTATTCTAGTCAGTTCTCCACAAATAGAAGTTGAGGATAAAGGGATGCATAAGCATCAGCTGAATTAATTGTCGGAATCTTACATTAATTTTCCGAAACTGTGAAAAGTATGATCGATAAAATGATGGAAGTCCCAACAAGGAATTTTCTAGATCCAGTAACTTGCAGGTGTCCCCATCCAACATCACATTGGCAGAGTGAAGATGGCCGTAAGGAAATCCTTTCTCATGCAAGAATTTTAACACCTGAAAAAAAATCCAAGACAGAAGCATTGTCACAAGATACTCTGATGATCTCAAGATCTTAAATGCTCCAGTACTAAAGCAGATACATAATAAATGAGGCCCCTATTTGGAATGCTTGCTCAACTTGATCTTCTATCTACATCATCTTTGGCTGACTATTCATTTCCATTTCACTGGTAACATTTGTCACAAAACAAATGTTTGATGCTGATCCTCCAAGCAGGCTTACAGACACTGCCCATAGAAACTACAATTCACAATTCTACTGAATATTATACTTCGAATAAGAATTTTTAAAAAAACACATTAATGACAATGAATTTATGGCACCTGTTCTGCAGGCTATGAATTACTTCTTTTTCTTTTCCTGCAAGGAAAAAAACCCTACATTATCACCTCTCTCCCACTTCAGCTCCACATATACCAACTGCCTTTTTTTTTTTTTTTGTCAGAGATGGCCTCATGTAAAAATATCCAAGTTCAACTCCCAGCAGCTAATCTCAATTTACATTTAGCTTTGAAGTCTGCTGCCGAAATAAAGCTTGTGTGCTCAATAGTTTGTCCACTTTTTCTAGTTAAACCAGTTGGCTTCAAAAAAAATAATAAAGGCTGGTAAATAAAGCAAACAGAAAAAATACCTCTAATATTTGTCTTCCATATGTTTTTATTTGCTGAAGTTCAAGACCTTGAATTTTTTTAGGATTGCAATACTTCTTCAGGAATGGGTCTTTTGGCTTTGCCTTTAAAAGAAACACACATATCATGTATCATGCCCAGAAAAGCCAGTAATTGGCTTTTATAAAAGCCAGTTTTGTAAGCCATACTGTGGTCATTCCAGCAAACATTCTCCCATTTGAGTTGAGGGTGGCAGGAAGGAGACATTACCTTATAAATAAGGTCCTTTAGCGTCCCTTTTTCACTGAATGGTCTAATAACCAGCGCTGAAGATTCATTGGCAGTGGCAAAAGTGATTTTGTAAATATAGGGATGCTACCAAAAGAAGAAACCGTAGGTAAGTTTTAGATGACAGATTCTATAATTAATTTTTGCTTGATTCACAAGAAAAGATCTGCTTGAATTGTATGTTTAAAGTAATAAATTGGATTCTGTCAGTGACATTTGCTCGAGTTATTCAGTCTTAGCCTGGAGTAAATGCAAAGAAAACTTCACAAGGACATTGTTCAATTTCCACATAAATAATAAAAAAAAAAATCCACCATCTTCTTTTAACAAAACAGACTGGCAGTTTAGACAAATGAAGGATCCAGCCCCATGAGCAGCTTTACTGCAGGTTTAAGTCATGTTAAGCTAATAAAATCATTTATGGTTTTATATAACTGAGGCACATAAGGAAACTCAGCATTAATATCTGTCATAACAGTTTTATGTCTTCAAAAATTACTATAACAACTTCCTGCAACTTTGTGAGACCAAATGAGACAGCACAGTTGGAAATAAATTACACATGCAACACATACTTTAATTGAAGTTGCAAGTTAGGAAAAGACCCCTTCTTCGTGTCCTATTTTAATACATCAGTTTCAGTCTGGTTTGGGGGTTGAAAAGCCTAGCGTTCAGCCTTGCCTCCTGTGTACATGTGCTGAGTTCCAAGACAGCACAGAGGTTTACTAGTTTACCATCCTTTTCAGCCAGTCTCTCACATGCTTAACATCCTTAAAGAGAAACTCCTTCTGGAGGCAAATGCCAGTTTTTCAGGCTGAGAGGCCTATAGGATTCATAATGTGGCATTGCACGGGAGCTTAAGTTGTACAGCCTCCATTGTACCTCTGCTAAAATATTGCTATCTTAAGTTCAAAGAACTGAAAAAATAATGACACTCATTGCACTGCTTTATGCACTGCTGCCTGAGAATATCCCCAGCACATGGGTTAGCAATTACACCTAGACAGCACGATCCAACAGGCTAAAAGTGTTGAGGAGCTGAAACAAAAGCTCGTGATCTCACACTTCTGCACAAGAAGGAAAAAGAAACAATTAGCAACAACTCTGAAGCTCCTGTAATAATCCTGAAGGATTATTATTTGTGCTGAGATCATGTTACCTCATACTGTGTGGGAAACATAATTAAAAGGTTCGCACATCTTTAAATGAAAGCAACTCCAAAATTACAAACTATGTTTACTAGGCTACATGTGCTTTTGCAAGATCAGTCCTTGACATGCACTTTTGTGCTGGCACAATTTAAAAGTCTTCAAGTAATACTCACAGAACAGGAAGAAAGAAGTTTCACAGCATACTGTAAGTCTTTGTCAGACAAGTATTTATCAGGGCCAAGATCAGCCTGGAAATAAATAGGAAAAGAATGGCATCGTAATAGATGTTGCATTCCATAAAGAAAATGGGATCTATATTCTGCTCTCACAAATTAAGACAGCTGCTTGAAGGTATCTTTTGAAGAGCAAGCAAGGAAATTACACATACAGAATGAAACTTGAAGAGGCTGATTAAGGCCATGGTTTCACAATAGAAAGTATCTGACAGTAAATAAGCATCATTCCCTCCTTCCTCCCCTGTATCTGACATGCATTACTACCACTGAATGAACTCTGCCAACCCCAAACTTGGGGACTGTGTGCATTGTGAGCTGATAAGACTTATAACCCCACCTTCTTCCTCTCTAGGGGGAAAAAAAAAAAAAAAACCACCAACAAAAAAACCCAACTTTCCTCCTACTGCAAGGGAAGTTCTCCAGCGAACTCTCACAAACAGCTATGCTGATATAATTAAGAGGGCAGCACATTTCAGCACAGGAACACAAGCAAGTGTTTAGTAACAACAAAAACTATTTGGGTTCAATACATGTCTACCTTAAAGGAGCAATTCATGCCTCTCTCACCTGTTAGTTTGCCAGTAAAACTAAAGATCCAAGTAAGGAAACCCACCACTTTAAAAAGGATCACCTTGCTATTTTCAGTAATCGAATTTATACTACGGTCCACAGCCATATCATTACAACTGAAGAAGAGGTGCAGGAATGGGAACAAATGACCAGGCACAGAAACTTGGAAACTGGATTTGCCACCAGAGGAAAGAAACATAAGAAGTTCCCACACCACACATCCACCTAAGGGCTTTCAAGGCTCTTTCAAAGCCCACGTTCTTACGTCTCTCCGTCACTCACGCATGGTAGTCAATGCAAATGAAATAAGCCAGGTTCATTAAGAAAGACTTGAGTACGAGATGAAAGTATATATACCCAGCTTAACATTAGCCGTTCCTTTGGTTGATTCTTAATCTTCATTAAGAAATATTTCTTACGTATTCGCCAACCTACAAAAGAAGAGTCATCAACAGCTTTAATTAAAACACTGCTAAATCACACAGTTTACAGGCAAGACAAGGTCTGCAAGCAAAGTCAGTGTTGTGATCTTAGGACAAATCATGTAGTTGGAAGAAAAAAATCAGAGAAGTTTGCATGCATGCATACATACTCCTCTTACCTATATCTTTTAATGGTTCTACCACTTCCCACTTTGGCTCTAATCGGAAGAACATTGAAACATGCTGTAAGGCAATTTCTGGAAAGAAAAAAAACAACAAACATTTTTTAAGAGACTATTGAAGGTGATTATCCACATGCTAGGTAAGGTTCAATGCCAGAAGGAAGCCTGCAGGAATTCAGGCTGAAAGTCAGCAAAATCACTTTAAAAGGAAATAAGATAAAACACAGTTAAAGGGCATTTGCATTTTTAACCTGCGAACTCAAATCCACAGAAAAACAGAAAGCACTGCCTTCAAAAAACTTCGCTTACTGAGTTTGCATTCTATCTCTACTAGATCTACATTTCCAAATCCAATGCTCACAGTGAAGATTTCCCACACTAGATTAGATCACGAAACATTTCAGCTATACCTGTAAAAGTGCTAACTTTTACATCTCTTTAATGCACATCTACATTGCCATTACTACATGTACACTAATCAGTTCTGTTTCATTGTGTGTTCTGTCCTTTTCTGTGCAGGCAAAGGTAATTTGCTAGCTATCATGATCCAACACACATTTGGGGGGGGAGGAATACTCTTCTGATTACTGAATTCTCCCACAGCTGGGAACACAACTGGTTTATTCATGAAGCGGTTTGAAGGGAAATCTCAGTGAGAAATGGTGACAGCAGGGGGAGAAAGGGAATCATGCCAACATGGAGTTTTCTCTAACATGGCTTATCTTGGCATAGAAACACAGCAAAAAGGTAAGGATGCAGTGATCTTTCTGCACTGTATCTTCTCTCTCCAAAAATAGGCTAGGAAAAAAAGAGAAGGAACAGTAAAATAAACATCACCTTACTGCTCCAGAATTTAAGAAATTACAAAATGATGGTGTCTCCAAAGACCACAGGCACTGACTTGTTTGCTACTAACTTCCCAGCAACTCACTGAAATAACATTCTTGATGAAAGCACTCAAAATTAACACAGAAGTCACAGTGTCTCCTTCAGGATTTAAATTTCTTGCTCAGCATTAGCCAGACAAACTGCATCCTTAAAGAGTTACTAATAATTTACAGCTCCACCACAGCTTATCATAAACATCCGGGAAATGTCCTTTGCACTTTGAAGCTGAAGACACAAGAATGTTACATAAAGGGAGAGCAAAAAGACAAGTGAAAAGGAAGCAGTAAGTTCCTGCTTCAGTAGGCTCTGTTTTTATGAAAACAAGCTTTGCATTTTGCAAAGAGTCAGTCTGCCCACAAACTAAATCTGTGGAGTGTGTTTCATCAGTAAGAGGAAGTTTTTTTTCAGTCCATAGGACAAATATTTAACAATTTCTAATGGGTGAAGCTGAAGTCAGATAAATTCAAAGAAGAAATATTTAATAATGAAGAGAACTGATCAGTGGGATATCATTTTAAGGGAGGCAGTGATTTTCCAGTATTTAGGGGGAGAGTGTGTGTGATTTATTCAAGCCTTGAAGAAGTACTCAACCTAGCTCAAACAATTAGTTCTAGGAAGTCTCACAATGCAAAGTGATAGTGGGAACTAGACAAGATGACCACAACTGTTCCTGTTGATTTGAAAAACCTCAGAACCACAACAAATGCAAGATACAGTGTTCAGAAGACTGGCTGTGTTAACAGAACACAGAGCTGACAACTTAACTCCACCACACTCCGGTAGACGAGTAATTTCCAAACCCCAACCCTCCCCATTTATCACGAACTGTGAAAAAGTAGATATTGCTCTCACCGACCCCTCTCCCCCCAAGTTGTGCTTATATAGATCTTGACCCTATCAATCCTCTGTAAAATAATTCAAATATTTAGATTTGACAATTGCAGCATGATTCATGCACAGAGCTGGAGAAACATTATCGTAAATAATCACATACACAGCATGGTAATTTTAAAGGTTATTCTCCCCTCCGCCCCCCCATGCTTCAGTGTAAATCCTTGCCAGCATTAATGGAAGATACACACACACAAAGTGCAACTGTAATGCAGTTTTGCAATTCCTCACTTACCAGTGTAGTTTACAGAATAGCTGTTTGGGTCCAAGAATTTTTTTACCAGTTCACAGTTAGACAGTATGTGATGGGTAGTAATTACATCGAGATAGGCCTGGAGTCCCTTCTGTCTTTCAGCTATGAATTCACGCTCCATATTTCCAATCAATTTTTTTGGAGGAAGAGGTAGACTTAAAGTTGAGATCTTAAAAAGAGAGGAAAAATTACTAATCTTGCTCTTAAAATGCCTCAGGGCTATAAACCAGCAACCCAGAAAGTAAAAGACTCTCAGCAGCAAGCTAACTACTGGATAAGTCTTTTTGCACTGTGTATATACAAGCTTTTATGTTTTTTCTAAGTACTGTTATCAGGGTGAGCTAGTCAGACAACAGCTCGTATCCCACTGTGAAGAGATTAGTAAATGGAACGACACTGAAAATGAGAGGAGATAAATTTTTGCTAGTGAGTCATGCATTTAAGATCACTACACAAAACTTCCAGATACTAAATGGCTACAATTTTCACCCGAATCCTTTCTATGACATACCTCTGCCACAGCACAAAAACAATTCAAATCTTACCATTTTCTCCAGATAAGATTTATGCTTTCTTATTTCATGAAGTGCAGATCAATGACTTTCCTTTGCCTCTACTGCCTTTATATGTAATATAAAGCCCTTACTGTCAGTATTTAAAATCTGTAATTTCAAATATAGTGCAACTTTTCCATTTTCTCTTCTGAATTTGTTGCTGTACAGTTTTTAAACAGCTATACATCTTTCAACCCAGGAATAGCCGCAATCTACCAGTGGGTGTGCAGTAGCTGTTTTATGTTGACATAAGTGATCCAAAACTTCAGATAAAACCAGAGAAATACTTCGAAATAGGACGATGAAAAAAACGTACAGAAATTCAAAGTCTTATGTAAGTCAGATCAAAGAGATCATCTTTAGAAAACAAAACTAGGTTGCATACAGTGTTTACATTCAATTACATCATGTGAATTGCCAGAATAAATTTTTCATGTTGTTAACACATCGTTGTCCTGCAGATCAAAGCACCTGCCTTGGGTACGCTGAATCTCCACGGGAGTTATCTTTAAGAAATGTGTACTGCAGGAATCAATTACACCAGATGCAATAACCTCATTTCTAAAGCAAACAGTTCACCAGGGAGAAGACTAGGACTTTCAGTGTTTGAACAGCTTTCATTTTAACTAGTGGAAAAAGTAAAGGATTAGTTCAACAAACTGGGGCAGAAGTAGCAATCCCTTTCCTTGTTTTCCTCCTCCTTTTGAACACAGTCGTTGTGTCCCCCCTAACCTTAGCACTTCTACTTCTGTTTCTGACTGCAAATCATGGGCTGAAAAAGAGCTACAGCTATGCTTGAATTACAGGAGATGTTAATAAAAATCATCCTATCCACTGAGCATTTTTAATGCTCTTTTACACCCAACGGGAAAAAAAAATATCCAGGAATAAACCCAAAAGCAATAATACACCACTTAAAACTAATTTGGTGAATTACTGGCTGTAACACCAGAGGCATACAAAAGTGTCATTTGGCAGACCACTCTTACTTCAATTCAAAAACAAGTTTCTAAACAAAACCTAAATCCATTTCTGGTATTACTCACTTGAAAAGCACGTCACATCATAATCAACTTTACCTTCTTTAGCTACCATAAGAGAGAAAAGGACTCTAGTTCAGATGTTTTCAAACCACTATTATTTGTTTTAAAATTTATTTCAATAAACCACACATCTGCTATGTTTCAGCAGAAAGTAACATTGGCCCCCAAGTTTTTGTAGCTCTCTGCCAAAACACACAGCACAGTGAGAACACTGTCTATCACAGAACACCTCGCTGAGGTCCTGACCTTGCAAAGACCTCGCATGCTTTTAAAGGTGAGCAGCACTTCTCAGTGGCCCCAGCTCAGCACTGGAGCTAGGATGGGCTTCACCACAGAAGAACCTGGGAATTAACATTCTTATCTTCAAACCACAGCCCACTCAGGAATGTCTGTTCAAAAGCTGCAATAAAATGCTTCACAAAAGCCAGATATCTTGCTGCAAATACTGTACCAGTAGTTCACTTAAAACAGCAGTGCAGACAATGATCTCCACACATCTTTGTCAAATAAGCGAAGAGTAAGAAATGGAGGACAGTCTGGAGGGGGCTTTTCAATCCAGTATGCAGCGGTGAGCTCAGGGAATCTGGCTCGAAATGTTCTGAGGCAGATCACAGGCATACACCTCCTCATTATTTCCAAGGTCTTTGGTAGGACTGCATCCCCTAGGCCAGTTTGGAAATTCTCAATCCTTACTATTATTGCATTGGTAGTAGCAGATTAACAGCAGAGAAGTTGCATTCCAACTCAACTGCAGCTGTGTGTTCAAACACAGACACTCAAACCTACAGAGAGGTCAAGTATGCCAGAAGAACTGGAAGAACTTGAGGCTTTACACCCAAAAGAAGCTCCAGCAGTTTTTCCAGCAACATTTAGTTTTGAAGAAAGGGGTTTGGTATTTTCTTATTGCTTGTTGCTTTATACTGGGGGGGGGGGGGTGCTTTGCTTGGAGTATTGTTTGTTTACTCTAATTTCAATATACACAAGACAAAAGTTTAAAGAGTTTAAATACAAGTGATGGGACCTGAATATTGTGATGAAATATTGTTGCTTAGAGTTCTGGATGGAAATAATTGAGGAGCGTTGCATGTCTTAATGGATCAGAAAACTTCAGCTCCAGCATCACACAGAGCAATTTATAAAAAACTCCAAGACAGTGGGAGAAGAGAGCAATTTTAAACACGCTTCTCGCCAGCTACTGTCTGCTGTCTCTCAAGCCCTGGCATACGGAACTGGGCTGGAGGAGCACTAGTGTTTGTCAGAAGCAGAGTTGTGCATCTTTGATAAAGGCTTAAAAGTCTTCCTGCCCTTCTGCTGGGCACATAGGGAAGAATTACAGCTCTTAGGGCAGCTCTTTGTACCAGCCAGTAAAGGTTACCTTCAAGCAGAGATACATCTTTGCCTTTCTGGACTCTGGAAAGCAGAAACAGGAGTTTGAACATCAGGGGGTGAGCAGTAGCTTTCACTGAAGATGACCAAGTGCTAAAGAACATGACCTGTTAATTTAGCCACCCTCTGCATATCCTCCTATCCAAGTTAAAGGTATGTCTTGATGATTCTGTTTGATCTGTTCTAGCCATCCAAGCAGCTGATGTTTTTGTCCCGTATCTTGCTATCTTATATCTGCAAAATCTCTCTCTTGTTTCAAATTCCTCCTTAGCCCACTCTGCAAGTTGCTGTGAAATAATTTCCTGAATCTTCCGCTTTTATCATTCTCCTCTGTCTCAGATACAAAGGCCTTTTCTTTCTCTACTACATCATACATAACCTATTTACCTTCACTTTCTAGACTTTCCACCTAGGCCTAACCTTTCAGTACCTGTCATTTCTGAATTTTAAGTCTTAAAGGCCCATTGCCTTTTCTACTAAAGTTGCCTCATTTGAAAGTTAAATGAGAAGGCAACAAAGCTTTTTCATGCCTTAACACATTCTATTCCCCACGGTTAAGAGGAGCTTATTATAGGCAGCTGCAAAAGTGAACTCTTTCTTCTTTTTAAAACTTTCTCAAAATTCCCTCTCTGTGATCTCTATCAAAACTTGACTATGGTTAAGACTACAGTGACCACTATGTACTGTGATGGACTAGTCTAATCTTAAACCTTGGATTTCTTTGGAGCAGGAGGCATCACTATACTGCATTTATTCAGCACATCACACAAGAGGTTTCTAGGTCACGACAAAAGTTCTTACGTGCTACTGCACATTCAAGAAAATAATTCCACGACGCAACCATGTTGCATCTGTTGACTAATTTGCTCCCCCATCCACCTTCTAGCATAGGAATCAGTTACAGCAGCCTAGCAGAGTGAACAATTCAACATCCTTACATGGTTTTGCTCACTGAGGTTCATCAAGCAGATAGCTGATTTGATGGAGGGACAGAAAAGGGGAGAGGAAGTGGAAGCAGTATTAAGCTCTTGAATTCACACATTTAACGGGGGGTGTGGGGGAATTCAAAGCCACAAAAATCTATCCTCAAGTCACAGAAGTGGTCACTTTTTATCTTGCTTGCATGGTACTGTAGAAATCCCAAGTAACAAGTTTCACTCCTGTAGATGCTAGTCTCTGCTGCTTCCCCTCTTCTCCCAAACACACTCATATACCCTTCTTTTTCCCACACAAACTAAAAAAGAAATAATTGTCCTAAAAAGCAAAAGAAAACACACAGTAAGTCCAGTGTTTAACTAAGGAACACTTTCCAGTGATACAGAAAACCATCACATGATAAGCAGCATCTGGTAGCGCTCTTAGATGAATATAAATAATGAGCCACATAGCACTTCAATGCTGAATTTATAAGGTTGGTATGTGCCTTGGCTTTCTTCAAATCAAAGGAGGAACAAATAACAACACATAAAACCGGAACAAGTCACGGTACTGAAGGGAAAAGATTCAGTATCTGCCAATTTCCTCCATTTCTATATAAATTGGTTCTGTTGATGCTGAAATTACAATTTTACAAGAGAAAACATAAGAATGAAAAAGTATACAGTCAAGTTACATTTAAAGTCACAATTTCTCCTTAGAGCTATGTGAATTTGTATTTTTTTCTTCACTGTAATATATAAAAATATCACAAGCCATTTTAAATATATCCTTTTAAATGACATTTTATATTTATATATCAAGGGTGAAAGTTACCTGCAAGCTATTATTAAGCAAGTCGAAGTCACTGTATCGCCTCACAATCTGCAAAAAGACAGAGATCAGGAAACATTACTTTTCCCATTAGCATTTTACTCTTCAAAATCCCATCAGAGAAAAGTAATTCCCATTTATAATCTTCTTTTAACCATTTTTTTACAAATGCATAACTGCTGGATTTATGTCACTTTGCCACAAAGCAGAGTTTTTAATCAGAATGAAAATGCCTTTCTAAACATTATCTTAAAATAGCTTAAAAAAATATTTATGAGCAAAGGTGTCTGCAACCAAAGCATTTTTGCCATATTAGATTCAACAACTTTGCATAGTCATCTTCATTACTACTTCTAGGTTGTGTTGGTCATGTATCAGTAAGGCTGTGATTTTAGCGCTAAGGCAGGCAAACTGGCATTTGAGATTTGAAAGTGATGGTCGTACCAAAACACAGTAGTAACACATGACAGGCACTTTTCCTGGAATATTCACAATAGCAGCAGACAACATGCCTTCTGAAGCTGGCAGCAATATTGGTTTTCGCTCAGCTTTTGACCAAAAGTATTCAAGCACTTCATGTTCTCAATTTCCAAACCAACATTTCCCTCTTCAGCTCAGATTTAAAAAGCTAGGAAGAGACAATTTTCAAATTCTTCCTAAAAAGGCATCCTGGTTACATGAATCATGGTTTAAGAAATTACCTGCCAACTGTTTTCTGCTGAAACTCCTCTCTGAACACGGATTATGTATTCCTAATAAAAGGAAAAAGTTATTAGAAATGAGAACTAATGAGGTGAAGAAAGTTATTAGGTACTTCTCCAAATATGGCCACTATCCAATTAGGAAACGTTCGGAAACAGCAAATTCAGATCCAGATTGTATGAGCCTAGGCAAAGGTCCGAGCTGGGTTTGCTCAGACCCATCACCAGCAGCTGGCTGGCTCAGCTTCACGGAGCAGAAGACAAAGAGAGGACCAAGAGCTCACAGACCTGTGCAGCACTTCAACAGTTTCATTTAGTTCAGGAAAAAGATACTAAGAGCATACTCATCGCACATCTCTACCAACAACAGCTGAAAAAACCTCTGCTCACCTCACCTCCAATATCTAACAAGTAGCCCCCAGGAATTATTGTCACCATCATAAGGGAATAAAATGCCAGTAAATACCTACAGCTGCCCAACCTCTATTTTTGTACAAGAAAGGTTACCACAAAAGCTTTGGGGTGTGCTTGAGTAACTAGAACGTATCAGTTTCTTATGATGATAAATTAATCATTTATAATGCATACTTAATGTTAATTATTTATCTATTAACTATGCAGATATATCTTAATCTCAGAGAAACATCTTTAAATTTTAAGAATTAATAATTCTCCTACCACAATTACATTGATAAAGTACAACTCATTTCAGTCTCCTCATTTCAAGTTCCATTGTACCTTTTGTAGGCAAATACCTGGTCAATACAGCAATATTATTATTTGAGATTTATCTAATTATCTCAAGATTAGATACCAAGTATTTTGTACACCTAATCAGACCACTTCAAGGAAGCTGTGATTTTGTTTACCCCCACTCTGTTTAAGTTTGGAAACAGCTCTAAAAACACTTTTGACATTTCAAAGATCATAAATGAGGCGAGTCCTTTTCCTGGAAAGCCTATAATCTCCATTTTAGATATTGTTTAATTAGCAAGGAAATGAAATTAATCTGGGCTAAGTGTAGTAACAGATACTTCCTTTACCATTTGCATACACAAAGCTCTATAAACACAGCTCTTCTAAAGTCTTATTACACAGATGATCCCAAGGCCACATAATTTACATTGAAAAACATGAAAATGCAGAGCCAAAAAGTAAGGTGCTGCCTGAGAAAATGCAAGTCTCAACACTGAAGAGAGCTGGAGAGTCCCCAGAGTCAGAAGAGGGGGAGGAAGCCACACAGGTACCTGTGCTTTTACACTTCCCTTCCAATTGTATCAGCCTGATGCTGCAGGAGAGGTCTACGTCCCCGACACCTTTTAGGCACGTCCATCGTTCCCTGCTACGCGTGGCCGGCGTGGCAGGACCCACCACCGCGGCTCAAAGTACCACTAAATCCCCCAGGTTTCCTCACTGAACGCACTCAGTCACGCAGCACACCTGCAGCTACAAAATTCAAGGCAAGACCTAGAAATTCTAAACCAAATACGAATTCAAGCCAGGGCTCACAGTACTTCTACACTGCTGGAACACGCAAAAAGCTCTTTGCATTTGTGCCAAGCAACGCGTGAGTACCCACCCAGTTACTGCCTGCAGTGCAGCAAGCATCACATGATAAATCATTTGTTATTCAGCTCAGACGACTTCATTCACCCTGGTACAAAGTTTCACATGTATTTTATGTAAAGAGCTGAATAATTTTTCAATTTCAAATGCCACCTAATTTGCTTAGATCAACAGGAGTCTTACACAAAGGACAGATCAGAGCACTATGCACAATTTTTTTCAGATATTAAAATTAATGCTGCATTCCAAACTATCACAAATAGACAATGATGAAAGAACACCAAATAAACAAAGGCATTCCCAACACCTTGAGTTTATATACTAAATTTGTCCATTCTGTAACAGTAACTGTACCTGGCATGTACCTGCATACCAACTAGGTAATTCAATTAATTGAGTGTTTGATCCATGAAGTATTATAAATTCAGCTTCACAGTTAAAACTCCATTTTATTAGTAACTTCTTCCAGGCACTGAGAAGCGTCTGCTGGTTTTGGCAGTTGCCTTCAGAACCACAGAGAACTAATTCTCCTTTTTCAAACAAAATGAAATTAAAAGCTTGTACACTGAAAAATATAAACATACCGTTGGATGCAAACAAAGTGGGGCATATTAGAGAATCCCTCCGTAGAATTAAATTCCCATTTAACATTTACCACCATGAAAAGGCAGTAGTGAAAATCAAGAATTGCGACTATTCCAGTCAAGAGGCAAAGGCAACACTTATCAGATGACATTACTTTGTGTGTTCAACCTTAACTAATCCAGAATTTATTTACTAAAGTTTTCTTCCAAAGCACAATGCTCCTCAGGCAAAAATGCTATTCTATTTTCTAAAATTCACTTAAAATATCTTTTATTATTAACAGCTGTCAAATATCTGTAGCAATTTTGAACTATCTAGCCTTCAGAACAAATCCAAGACCAGTAAGCATGCAAACCAAAGTGATTTCAAACACTTCACATGCTAGCAGCTTAGCTGGAAATGACAGAAATCCAAGATGTCACAGAACAAAGCACACAACTATTATGCTTGAATTAAAGTGTCCATTTTCAGAAAGTCAGCCTGACATGCTCTCTCCATATTCTCTTACCTATTTGAAATTATAATTAAGGTATTTTCCTGCAAAACAAGAAACCCAAATCTTCATAAATACTAAAAAAATCCACAGAGCTGATTGCAATCCAACCAGTGTAATTATATTTGGAAACTGTGCCACAGAACTATTTAAAGGGACACCTGGAAACCCAGATTCACCACCAACATGTGGCTTTTCCTGTTTTGTGATCGTTGCTGCATTTTGGGAAGGAGGAAGAGGCTACTTCACACACAGCCAAAAAACTGCAGCAACTGCTTATTCAGCAAGTCTCAAAGGAACATTGGCTGTTTCTCTGAAAAACCACGTCAGTGATGATTCACCACGTTCAGTCATTCACATTTTCTAGGATTTTGAAAGAAGCAGAGTTATTGCTCAATCCCTTGTAGCACTTACTCTTTATCCAGCGATTAACCTTTTCTATTGCACCCCAAGAAAACACTCTCGGGCAGGCAGAACACACAAATTCATTACACAACCGCTGAAGCACCTTGCTGCATACAACCACTCTGATCAATACGACAGTCGTCTCTTCTGGAGAGCCTGGTGACAAACAGCTCAGGGCTCAGAGCTCATTCTCACACTAAGATTGTATTACAAAACCAGATTAGGGCCACAACTATTTTTTCCACGCAGATTTGAGCATTTTCCCATCCAGCTCTGCTTTGGCACCCTAAAGCACTAATAGAGCCCTCTCTTGACATCACAGATAACAACCTGAAACAAGAGAGCATCACTCTTCAGACGTAGTTGTTAGTTCTCTCTCCATCAGCTCTGACCCTAACAAAGAATTGGTCACCTCAGCCACTACCTTGTCAATACAAGTAGTGAAAAAGCCTAAGTGGTCTTCTGGGTTTTTTTCCTAAAGTTGATAACGAGATTGAAAGTCACAGTAGAAAAGCCACGATAAGAAATACAATCCCATTCCCAGTATCTGCCATGGCTACACATAATCAGCAGACCACGCATGCTGAGTTTTAGTGAGAAGTTGATACTTCCTATTGCCTCCACACGGCAACAAGCTTGTGTTGGGATTATAATTAGCACCACTGATATATGCTTCCCATAGGACCAAAGAAGAGCTTTTAACTCTGCAAGGAAAAAGCCTAAATGCACAAAAGCCTTTATTACTCTGCCAAATTCTGTTTAGGAAAAACATCTGAACTACAACAATTTTCTTCTGAGACAGCCTGATTTGGTAGTGGGACTGTGACTGCGCCCATAGGAAATAAATGAAGTGTAAAGCAAACAGATAGGCGCACTCAGAATCATTTCTGTTTAGCTGCATCATCTAACACAGGAAAATACGATAGAAAAGGTTCAGAAAATGCTAGTCATTACCAGAGTTCACTCCTGCCAACAATTTTAGGGATCACCAACCAGGCTCAGTGAGGTCTACGTTAGCTACACTCATGCAGAAATTCCCATGGCATCTTTCACTCCTACATGAATAGCTCAAAATCGTTCCTATGACTCAGTTTACCAAACAACTTCAAAGGAGCCCAAACAGCTGCTAGTTGGCAAAGAAAGGTCTCAGCTTGCAGAAGAGAGACAGCCTCCCGCTACTGATTTTGCCCGTGGGCAGCAAACTACACAAGAGCTACCAACAAGACAGGCCATAAACCCATTCCCCCAGACCACCTCCCCGAGTCCCTCCAGACTCCCACACAAG